AGATAAACTTATGATTCAACATTATCATTACATTCTTTTTATAAACATGTTTTTTAAATTAATATTTTAGGAGCATATTCACCTATTGGCGCCGAAAAAAATGGCAATATTTAAGAGATTGTTATACAAAAGCTAGGAGGAATTTTAAGAAAATACAGAGCATTGAAAAAAGAAGTGGTGCTGCAGGTACTTCTATAAATGAAAGAAATAAACCATCTTTTCGCTATTACGATGCAATGAGTTTTCTTAATGATACATTAGAATATAAAGAGTAAGTTATATTGAAGTTATATCGTGTTAAATGACATGTCGAATAACAACTAAATTTATTTTTAATTTTTTTCAGAACATGTACATCTTTAAGATTTCCAAACAGGAAAGACACAGCTCAAGTAACGAATAACCTTTTTGCTCCTTTACCTTCCTTTTCAAATTCACCTATGAATAACAGCAACGATTGCACAGATTCAGAAAACAGGCCACCTTCAACGGCTCCTTTACCTTCCTTTTCAAATTCACCTATGAATAACAGCAACGATTGCACAGATTCAGAAAACAGGCCACCTTCAACGTTATCACTGAGTATCTCTGAATTGTCTGTAGCGACTTCAGCTTTACGAAGTTCGTGTTTGAAATAGATATACACACACATTAATATGAGGATATTAGAGTTTTTAATAATTTAATCTACCGTTTGGTTTCAGAAAGACAACATTCAAGTAACATCGACGAAGTAGATAGAGCTTTTTTACAGACCTTAAACACAAATGTTCAACCCAATCCTATTGATGGATTCATGTTACGACTGGCAGAAGGAATGCGTCGACTTCCCTACAGGGAAAGATCACAGTTAGAGTTGGAGTTCTTAATAAAACTGCGTGAAACGGAGGAAAGATTGGGACTATTAAATAATTAAGAGGATGTAACGATGCACCCCGTGCGCTAAGCATCGTTCCCGGCAAACGACCGCCGGATGCCGCCCGACCGACGACCAGTCGGGCGAAGACCAGGGCGCGGTGCGCCCACATTTTAAACGTAGTTCAAAACGCACCGTGTGCGCGGGCCAAGCGCGGCACCGGTGCCTCCCGACGAGCGACGACGGGAGCCGAGCCGCCCCGAGGACGAGCGCGGCGCCGCGCCGCCCCACCACAGCGCGACGATCGGCGCTCCTAGCGAACCCGCCGCGCCGGGCGGGTATATAAACCGCCGTTCCGGCGAGGAAAAGAGACTTCGTCTAAAGATCCGCTTCCAAGACGAAACCTAGTCCCGACTCCTAGGGAACACGCCAACGAGGTCCGGTGCTCCGAGCCTCGACTGAGAGCTCTCAGGTGTTCCCGCACTCCCTCAGAACTCACCCCGAAGGCACGGTTACGCGGGGTCGAGCGCGCTCGGCCTCGCAACGAGGGCTCTCGCTGCCGCCGCCCCGGGGCTCCGAAATCTTCCATCTTACGTTACGCGTCCCGCACGCATATTACCGCGGCATCCGTGAGCGTACAGATATTATGTACTGTAATACGTCTATGTAATATACCGAGCTATGTAATATACCGAGCCCGTCGAGTAACGATACCGCGTTCGTTAGTAAATACCGCGTCGTTATCGAGTGCACATGCACTACCTGCAATCTACCGCGTCCGCCTACGTACTGTAATACGTCTATGTAATATACCGAGCCCGTCGAGTAACGATACCGCGTTCGTTATTAAATACCGCGTCGTCATCGAGTGCACATGCACTACCTGTAAGCTACCGCGTCCGCCTATGTACTGTAATACGTCTATGTAATATACCGAACTACGTAATATACCGAGCCCGTCGAGTAACGATACCGCGCTCGTTATCAAGTGCACCCGCACTACTTCTTCGTTGTATATACCGCGTTCTGTCCGTCCCTGCGCTACATCAAATACTACCGGGTCCGTCGAATAGCGTGTTACCGCGTCCGTTATCGAGTGCACCCGCACTGCTCCTTCGTTGTATATATCGCGTTCCACCCGTCCCTGCGCTATATATAATACCACTTTGTGTATGTAATAAGCTAAGCCGAATAAACTACTGCATGTACCACCTAAATCGATTATTGTCTCTGGGCCTTTCATCGGACTCCTGATCCCGCACACCAGTCCGCGTTCGATAAAGTCAGGCCGTTACAAGGATATCTGTTATATCGTATATTATACTTAGTTTTACAAAAAAATATTGTAGACATTATAAAATAATATATAAATTAATTTTTAAAAATCATTGTGTAATGCCTTCTCCCATTGTTGTTCTATGGCTCCAGCAGTACAAAAAAATTCTTTGAATGCATCTCGAATGTTCACTGCACTTTGAATTACATTATTTCTTTCTGTATTATTATCAAAACAATGTAATGCTTGGAAAGCACTATTATATACATTTACATGATCTGAAAGTGATAAAGACATATATTGTCTTTTTTCAGCGGAAACTGCGAGATCTTTTTGCATTAGAAAATTATGCAGACAAACTGTTGCTTTTACTATTGCAATTGCATTGTTTACATTTGTCGACAGAGATCGTCGAAAAATTCTCCAACGTGCCGTAAAAATGCCAGAAGCACATTCCACAATTCTACGAGCTCGGCTAAGTCGATAGTTGAATACTTTCTGTCGTAAATTTAAATCGTTGGCACGTGGATAAGGTCGCATCATAAAAGATGTTAAGGCGAAAGCTTCATCACACACTAAAACGAACGGCAATTGTGAACCATTTTCTACAATTGATCTCGGCAGAGGTAAGTTACATGTATTATTGATGAGATGATGTCCAATTTTACTTTCCGCAAAAATGCCTCCGTCACTTCTTCTACCTTCAGCTCCAATATCTACTGCTGTAAAACAATAATTTGCATCTGCGATTGCTAGGAGAACAATGCTATGGGTACCCTTGTAATTAAAATAAGTTGAACCACTATGAGGTGGAGCCTAAAACAACACCAAAATTATATTTTTTTAATAAAAATAAAAAATTATTTTTATTATTAAATCAGAGTAAGAACAAAAAATTAATTAAATTACGTACCACTATTGCCATATGCCTTCCATCTATCGCTCCAATGCAGTTAGGAAAATTCCATTGTGTTTCAAATTCGTTGGCCTTTTCTCTCCAAAAATCTTCAGTGATTTCGGGAAAAACTTTTTTTTTTAATATGTTCCATATAGCTTCACAAGTTTCTGATATAATTTTTGAAACCGTATTCAATCCTACTCGAAAAGCAAACGAAATTGATGACATATTATCTCCAGATGCTAGATACCGTAGGCATATTTCCAGACGTGTAGAAGCGGGTATTGGAGATCTCACTACATGTTGCTTTTCGATCTTCGGCCCGATGAGACGTAATAATTCATGAAATGTTAATATATCTATACAAAGATATTCAATATACTTTTCCATATCAATATATTGCATTTCTCTTATTAAATTATTACTTGCTCCCTGCAAGCGCCTTCGATCTTCGTTAAATATTGGACGTACCCAAAATCGTCGTTGGTTCTTCTGCTTTCTCTTTTTTTAATTATTCTATAAATACCGAAAGCTTTCAGCAACTGTCTTCTTCGAAACTCTCTTTGCCAAGATAATTGTGGAGTATTTTGCCACTCCATTATCATTTTCATAAGAAATAATTTTGCTGTTTTTGCTTTCATTTTTTTATTTCTATAAAATAAAACATATTTATAAACAAAATATAATGTACTTTTATATACAAAATATAATGTATTTTTATTATATATTGTCTTTAACAAATTGAAACCACTATAAGCATATTGTATATGTATGTTGGGCTAGAAATGTATGCTAGACCGTCAATATATATCAACATTATAACCTAATATAACATAACTTAACATACATATCTCATAATTACAATACTTACAGCAGATGACATCATATTCCCCTTTTTCCGATCAAAATAAATATATAAATACAACTTATCACTTCTTTAACCACCAATGACCGCCAGATATTTGAATTACGTACATGCACATGCACATGCATGAATTCTGTTCCGAAAAATGATCGCCATGGGGAACCCAGATGTGAAGACACGCAACGGAATCATTCTGATTGGTTAGCTCCCCACCATCCCACCTTTCCGATTCCGTTTTTTGATAATTCCGACGTCCATGGGACAGCACCCTTACGCGATATTCCCGGCAATACTTCAGGGCGTAGGGCTCTTTCTGGGAATTCGGAGAGAGGCGTTACGCAATCAATCACACACAAGAGAATAAATGATAATAGCAGATAATATATTTAGTCAGGTAATATCAAGGTGTAGGTATAATCGATCTGAGTCTCTCGTATCACCGCAACAATGTCGGCTAGGCGGACGCACGAATGCCGCAGACGCAATAAGGGCACTCGGTAATGTCGACTATTAAATACTGTAGACTAATGCACGCGAAGTTATCATCAACGCAACAGATAAACGCAGACGGACACACGAAAGCAGAAATAGTGACGATTCAGGTATCGCGGTACCTGGCTTCGAACTCACACCGAACTCACGCCACGAGGCCGACGAACCGACTCGCCGCACCTTCGGTTGCTCCTTCAACGCGCACCCGGACCACCTCGATTCCGCACGACGCAAAAATTATGAGCGATCTCGCCGAATCGACCACGCTGGCCGGCGATTGCCCCCAAACACGAAATAAGGACTTTTATCGCGGACGATCCCGCGGCTTGCCACGCGAATCCCGAATTCTCTCGCAAGCACGGAGATTTCGCGGCCCCGCACCGATCCCGTCGATCTTTCCGTCCCGCCAAACACAATATTCGCTGTCGTCGAAGGCCCGGATACGTTACTCAAATACGAGGGCGAGTGCCCTTCAAATTACATGGCTACTCGCGGCTCGCCGTTACCCGCACAACTCGCTCCCGTTATCGCCACGCAAGGCATCACTCTCAATAATATAGCCAAGACGCGACATGATTACGAACATAAATAATATGGCCAAAGACGCGACACGATGACGAACATAAACTCTAACAGAAAGAAACGCAACACGATTGCGAATATGAACACCATGAAACGCGACACGATTATTTACATTCACGCAACGAGACGCTATACAGTTCGACCCGATTGATCCGACTCACACATCTCAACGCCACGCGACTGTCGGCCGTGGCGGTGCTCGCGGGGAGGGCACGATTGGTCTCTACGCACTAGAGAGCTCACCCTCGGCAAGGCCCTGGCACGACTTCCACCCGACTCTATCTTAATGCGAGCGCAAGGTACCGCACGCGCTCGTCTCGCAGTCCACAGGTAATCCTGCGGCGCTCAGGTAACTGATGCGTGCCATGGGCCAGTGCCTCGAGCGAACCCTCCTTTTCTTAACGCGGGGACGCCAGAGTGGTGACCTTACAATGCGTCGTCGTCCCTTTGGTAGTCCGGGCAGCTCGGGATCCGGGAGATGCTTCCTGCTCTTTAGCCGGCACGACAGTGTCGGAAACGATAGCCTGCCGGGATCGCGCCGGGTCCCCGCGCCTGCGCTGTAGCGTGTCTCTCGACCGGATTGCCGATCCTAGCGCTTCCTGCGTCTAGGCCGCCCGTGCGCCGCTCTTTCCGGGGGCGCCACTCCACTTCCAGGGCGCTCTCGTCGGCGCCTCAGTTTCTCGCGCGCCTCCCCTTCCAGCGGCGCCACTGCAACTACCTCCGATTCGGCGCGGGCTTTTCGACTCAACCGGCTGTCCGGGCCGCGATGATCGAGTCGGCGTTCGGGGTCAGGCTGACCGGGCCTCGGCCCCGTCCGCCGGCATCCCCTCGGGACCCTGGCCTGACTGGCGTTTCGCTCGGTGGTGTCCCGGGGTCTTCCAGATCGTTATCCGGCCGCTGTTACGACCGAGTGTGGAGTGAACTCCGGCCGGCAACGCTCATGCACTTGCGGGGAGGTCCGGGCGATCCGACTTTCAGCCATGTCCTCTGGCCGTCTCCTTAATCCTCTGCCCTTCCTCGTTGCGGCCCCCGGCCGTTACAGATTGAGTCCGGCCACCACCGGCAATCCCTTAAAAACTTAACAGCTAATTAGACCAATTAATTACGCGACCGCCCTCCTCTCGCTCTAACAAGGAGGCATCCCCGAATTCCCCTCGGCCGAGCCCGTCCGGGAAGGAGACGCGACTTGTCACGTCACAATTTATACCATTTGCTTTTCTTCAATTCTTCAGAGAAGTTTCACTTTTTCTACTAGATTGCTTGCGACTCAGTTTTATATAGAACTTTATACAGCAGTCAATAGACTATAAGAAAACAATGCTGATTGCATTTCTAAACAAAACATCTTGAGAATGTGAAATTGTGTGAATTGTATGCACATAATAAAATATAAAGAAATATTTTAAACTCAATTAACGTGCGCGTGTGCTTCTTTAAAAAAATATCAATTATATATTTTATATAACAATTGTTTTACAATTCTAACAATCTATTAATTATATAACAAATACTAATAATAATTATTGTATATAATTAAAAAACATGCAAAATGTAACATGTAAAATACAATTCATTCTTGCAGGAAAAAACGGTTTGTCGGATAACGAACCGGTATGACACGATGACACATGTCAATCCATCCCCAATACCAGGACGACCGTGAAAAACAGTCCCAGAAGAGGACGACGGAATTTTGAATGCCATTGCAGAATGTGGCTTTCAATCGTCGCGTTAAAATAAGGACAAATTTAAATTTGACGTGTGGTGATCGTACCGTGCAACGCCGTATGCAAGAGCGCGGCTATCATCACCGAATTCCCGCGCAGAAGGAAGTGTTCACCAACAACCACAAGGACCAACGGATGGCTTTCGCATTAGAACACTTAGGATGGCAGGAAGAATGGATGAGTACTATCTTCTCAGACGAGAAGGTATTTTCAACTGATGAGTCTGGTAGAATGACATTGTGGAGAACGAGAGGGACGAGGTATGCAGAGAAATATGTTCGTTTTCGTGCACGAAGTGGACGTATCACGTTAGGATTCTGGTGATGTATGACCTCGCATGGCCCTGGGCCGCTTGTTCGCATAACACCTCACATGAACAGCGAGGAATACATCAATGTATTATCTGACGTGATGATGCCATATGTCGCGGAGACTTTTCCTGGCATACCGTACGTGAATTTCATTCAAAACAATTCAGGGGTGCATCGAGCGAGAATTGTCCAGGATTGGCTGGCTGAACAACCCAATTTTAGGACGTTGGACTGGCCAGCCAAATCCCCAGATTTGAATGTGATAGAAAATGTTTGGGGCATTATAGTACAAGAGTGGGACCCTCAAATTCAGAGAACACGCGAGGCACTTGCGCAATACGTTGTTGAAAAGTGGGAGGATCTCCGCGCAAGGCCTGCTTTTTTTCAAAATTTAGTAGCTTCAATGCCCCGAAGATCGAACAGCGTGTTTGAAAATAATGGAGGTGTCACGCGATATTGAGTGACTCTTCAAGAATGGCGATGTATGAATGTTGCGTGAATGTAAAATGGACAATTTTCGATGAGTGATTGAATTAATCATATTGCAATAACTACAGTTATATGATGATTTCGCAATATAATTGTTATTGCAATATGATTAAAAGTGTATGCGTGTGTGAATCTAGCGAATAAATGCTGAATGAGTGATGAAGTGAACAAAGTGAAAGCCATCCATTGCTCCTTTAAAATTTGCACTTATGATCGCGATGAAATATAGAAAAATTGACCGTTTTCAATAGAAATGAGAGCCACATTCTGCAATATTACGTCATCGATTCCATTTTTCATAGTTCGCGTCCGTATCTTAAATTCCTACTATCCCAAATAGCCACGTCTGCTAAGAACTTACAAACTGTGTGCCGCATGCTATACTGGCATAATTTTGACAGTAGTAAAGCATGATCTACCATCAGATAATATACGTATAAAAATGACATAAAAATCTAGTAAAATCGTGATATGATCGTGACAACACGTTGTGCACGCCGCGATTTCTTCTGCGTTTCTGCGATTACATATTGTGGCAGCAAACCGTGCTGCTAGAAAATAAGCTTAATGAGGACGCAGTGGACAGGAATCTGCTGCACATTCATGATTGGATCTGTTGGCATATCGCCGATATTCTGCTAGCATTAGGCTGTTAGGGATAATTTTTCTACAGCAAAGCGGGTAAATTTGGCATGTTGGAAAAATGGTTGTTCATCTTTGTATTTATCAATGTAACGAATAGACGAGTAAAGCACAAATATGCGCGCTAATACGAGAATAACATATTATGCGAGCCACGGTGGGCTATGTCAAACTACGCAGCCACAATAATGTGAATGCGTATAATGTATGTAATAATAAGGTATAAATCCTTATAAATATTCTTTTATATATTAGCGATATGTAATGTTACTTTGTAGGTATTATGCCTTCCCAAACATTTTCTCGTTGTTTATTGCGGCGAATCGTCTTTTCACTGTAATGCAAGAATCTCTCTTAATAATCTCTTCAATAGTTATTGAACTATTTTTACTTTTATATCATGTATTATAATACACACATTCAAAGATTACCTTTTGCTTCACATAATATATTTTTTTCGAGCTCACGTTCTTGTCTAGCTTTGGCAAGTTTCACACCCAATGCACCTGTAACTAATCTAGCTAAGGCGGCGAATGTTTCCGACTACTTTTCGATATCTATTGCGTTCATGCGTCGATTGCGTGTTATTTAAAATTTTTGTAATTACATTAAAAATGGTCAGATATAGGCCAAAACGTTTGTAAATTAATTGTTTATTAAATATCTTAACAGGAACATTTTGTTACGGTTTTGCGCCCGATTTTTTGTACGTTTTGATTTGTAATTAATTGAGCCTTTCAAGATTATTATTAAAAAATGCCATATTGTATATAATTTTATCTTTAGTTTTTTATTTACCCATCAACGATTTTCCGTATCTAAAAAGTACCATTTCGACCCCCCTAAATAATTCAACTTTTTTGAAGATATCAATCTGCACTATTTAAAAATTAAACATTTTTAAAGAAATCCATCTCTTTCTTTTATTTTTATTCAAATTTCATTAAAATAAAATATTAAATAAACAATGTTTATCAAAATGACTATAAAATCGTCAACTACAATGTAGACAGATGTTTTGTGAACTATTCAGATTTTTTAAAATACTTTAAGGTAGAGAAAATAACGTCGGATGCGACAGACGCACGTATGGATTGCGAAGGTAAAAAAAAAACGTATGCAGGTGGAGGGTTAAGCAGTAATTGGATATTTGTTTAAGTTGAAATAAATTTTATTACTTCCAAATGCAAGTAAATCCAACAAATAAATTTGTTAAGCTCTTGGGTCATGTTAGATCGTAACGTCAGAGGCGAGAAATGACACACTGAGAATTCTTACGTGTTATTTTAAAATAAAAAGATATTTGGATTAAAAAAAAAAATACTTTAGACCGTTTTATAAAATGTTCAGAAAACTATCCTTTTCCCTCGAAAGTTAATAAATAGCCGTAAAATGAATGTGATACGAAACCTAGTCATGCGCTGCTCAATAAGCTTGCATGACTAGGCTTTGTATCATATTCATTTTACAGCTGTTTATTAACTGTCAAGGGAAAAGAGTAGTTTTCAGAACATTTTACAAGTGTATTAAAGCGATCTGAAGTGTTCTTTTACTTAAATATTTTTATTTAAAAATAGCATGCAAAGATTCTCAGCGTGTCATTTCTGATGTCACGATCTAACATGGTCGCAGCGAGCACTTAGGAGTCTTAAGCCGTTGAAAGTATGTAAAATCAAGAAATTGAATTTCTAGAGTTAATCAAAATAAATTAAATTAAATCAAATTAAGATGACATAAAAGTTACTTGTTATATATAAAAATATTATACGAAAATATGATATTCACCTCTGTGATTTACAAAACTGATAACATTTGTTTAAATATCTGTAATAATGTAGTACTTGACAGAGTTAATTACGTGTCTTCAGACATGCATCACAATCTAAGCGATATTATCTATTTTCTATCTGTCACAACAACTCATTGTAACACAGAGGAGATTTAGAGATATCACTGATTATATCTCTCACTTATACACAGAAGCTATAAATTTCTCTATTTAAATTACTACAATCTGAGAATACGTTCGTTTTGGGGGATGATCAAAGTTGCTTCAGCTTGAGCGATCTAAACTCAAAACAAGCTATGCTCAGAAGCCTTCTTCTTCCAGTTTTCTCTTTCCAAAAGAATTTTGCGACTCTGTAACTTGGTTCCTGACGTGCCATATCTATTAGGCAGAGCAATTTCTTAATACACCGATGAATACACTGAAATGATAAAATACATGATGATAAAATATATAATAAAATATATATTATAAAAATATATACAATGATATCTATAACAAAGTATTTGCCCTACGTGTCATATACGCTAGATAATATCACATATATTGTCCGATGTCTGAATAAGGAAAATAAGGATTTTAATAACTTAACCGTTTCCCTTGAAGCTTTGCATCCAAGAAAGCCATTTCTGAGGCGAGATCAACTTCTTCCAACATGTTTAACAGATGATCAGGGGTTGATAAATTAGGCACATGAAAGCAGATATTAAATGCTGAAAATAATTCAACATCATCTACTTGTCTGCAAAAAGAAATATATTATTTTATAATTTAAATAAATTATATGTATGTTTTTTAATAATTTTACTTCCTGAAAAAAAAGTTCTTGTTTCACCTGCTAGTAGAAAGGCACAGAATCAACAGTTTGCAACCACGCGACTCGCTGATTTAATGCGATGTCCGATTACCTAAAATATATATAGATAACATAATACATATTAATAGTTATGTTTATAAAACGTTTGTAATAATTTATAATAATTTTTATAATAATTTGTAACAATTTCTAATAATTTCTAATAATTTTATATTTGTCGGAATATACCAGGAAGATTTTCTTTAATTTCTCTCTTTTACACTTATATTAAATTTACTTTTACCTATTTACTTCTTTATGTATCAATTAATATCTTACCTTTCAATCACTAGCTGTCATTCTTATTACTTATTTGACACTTCGTATACATGATCCGTATATGCTCTGACCTTACGTCACCGCGGCTGTCACGGCAAGTCCGTGAGCAGCGGCTGTCATCGCTCGCATGATGGAGTGCGTCCCAAAACCTATCACGAAAAGTGGGACAACCTTTCTGTCGGCGAGTGTACATTAGGGTGGCTCTTATTTAGGGTGCCGTCCCATGGCGCGTGTCGTGATACGCGCGTATCGGGCGTATCGAACCCTGCGACCAATCACAGACGATCCGCCGTTTTTGATACGCTCAACAATCCGCTGAACGTTGTTTGAACGGATCGCACACTCACACATGTATGTACAGTCGTACATATATATTGCTACTATTTGAGTTTGAACAAAAATTATCTTTTCTTTAGTCTTATTTTTTGTCAAGAAAATTCTTTTTTATTTACTATTATGTAATAGTATTATTATGTTTGCAAAAATAAAACGTAATTTTTTGGGTTATATGTAAAGGTCAGAGAGGAGAATGAGAGTGGTTACGCTCGCGTTTTAGGTGGTCCCCGTCCTCGAGCGCCTCTATGTGCACAAAACGTGCACGCATTGAACTACGTAGCCATGTCCACGAAAATTTCTGATGGGTAACGCGTTATGTGCACGCTCTATAGGTTCTGTTCCGTGCTATGTGCACGATCTTTTGGTTCTGTTCCGTGCTATGTCCAAAGTGTCGGTAGTGCATGGTAATGCCAGAGAGAAACCTGAGAGCGGCCATCCCGCTTCGGGGGACGCCTGTCCTAATCTGCCCTCTGAGAAAGTGGATGTCAACTACGGCGTTACGCTCGGTAACGATCAGAGAGATCTCGGGTAACGATACATGGGTTCGTATCCGTGCTATGGTTCGTGTCCGAACTACTCAGATGGAGGGGATGTGCTGGTCGCGCAAGCTCCTCCTCTGTCAGTGTACGCTCGGCCAGAGAGAAACCTGAGAGAGGCCATCCCGGCATTTTTCGTCAATTTTTCTGTGTTGCATTTTCCGACGCGCCGCCTGAGAAAGTGCAACTCAACTACGTCGTTTCGCTCGGTAACCGCACATAGTTTGCGGCCGTGCTAATGGTTCGTGTCCGAACTAGCCAGTTAGAGGGGATATGCTGCGGCCGCGGCGCACAGTAGAGCCGTTTACGCGAATCGCGGAAAAAATTATGTTACTTGTGAAATATGCAATGAATGATCATAGAACCTTTCAATGTTGACTTATAAAAATTGCAAAAGTGTATATTTATTAAAAATTAATGATAGGAACAAGTATTTGATTGAAATTAAATAAAAATTTAATTTACATTTAATTTACGTATAAGAGCAAAGTAATTCTTGCGTCTCATCGCTTAAGTCTAAATTTTTTTGATGTGGTTTACTTCTTAAACTAGTTATTAACGGATCGGATGACACGAGCATCATATGCATAACATCTTCATTTGTAAACAGACGGCTACATTTTCTACTATGATTAAGTCGATATCGTTTATATAGTCCTTATTTCTTGCCTCTTGAGCTTCTTCCGATAATGTCCCAACAGCTAACGCTGCATTTTCCGAGGCAATTTCTATAATTTCCTTACCGTGAAGAAGAATTTTATGAACGGTAATTGGCCATTAAGTACCAAGAATATTTTTCAATAAATATTTCTGCTGCCTTGTACGCATAAGAACCGAATTTTTCTGAATTTATTTCTTTACTACAATTAATCGTTTGTAATATTGTGGAAAATCTTCTGATCAATTTCTCGTCAACTCCAGTTATTTCTGCTGTGATTTTTGGATCAGCAAAAAATCGTCGAGAAGTATTTCCGACATTAGATGATCCGGAACCTTGTTTAACGATGTCTACCCTCAGTCCAAGTTTGTTATAAAAAGCGTCTTGTATTCTTTTTTTTTGTTTCTTCTTTTTGAACGCGTGTTTCTGGCGTTGTTGACCACTTATTCTTGAAAGACAAATTGTAGGCAATATGTAATATACATTCCATGAATTTGATTCGTGCGTGCAAGGGTGACATTCCTAATTTGAGTGCTTCTTTTCTTTGTTAGATCTTTTATTAATTTCTGTTAAGTTGTTCATTTGAGATGGTTTGGAACCGCAAATGAAGCACGAAGATGATGAAGGCGCGTGGGTTACAGCTTGAGCTACCTTACCGTCTATCATCGTAAATATCATTTGATGATTTATTTTGAATGTGGTTCCGAACTTTTCTATTTCTGTTTCTCGTAATTGAGCAATTTTGTCATCCATACGTTGCTTTTCACTTTTTATTTTTTCAGCAGTTTCTTTTGTGTATTCAAATTGTATTGCTCTGCAATATCTCGTTGAAGAAGGTCAATCATTATTCCAAATAATAATATTTTTATCGTAAAATGAAGTAAGACGTAAGGGCACCATCTGTGACTAGTTAGTGCCAATTGTTATAAAAGACTTTTGCAGCAACAATGCACTCGAAACAACAATTATCCGTTGCGTTCCTTTCTCCCTTCAAGACATGAAAAGCTTTTCCATCTCCTATCAAGAATTAGTCACAGATGATGCCCTATGCTACGATGCGCTATCCCAGGCAGCATGCTTATGTTCGCCGAATGTTAGTTCTGTGTTAAATATGTTTGCTGTTTGATTCCAAACAGTCAGCTAACAATTTGAAAATAAATTCTATCAGAGAGTTATGATTTAAACGTTGAACGAACATTTGGCTGCAACACTTCGAGCGCCATCTAATAATTCACTTTCGTTAAAGTGAAACTACGTAGCCAAAATGGCGTCAGTCCGTTAGCCAAAGTGACAAGTGAGGACTCATCACTACCGCACAGATGTTGGACACATACGCATCAGGCTCGGTACTTAATGTTCTAAGAATAAACATATTGCATCATTATGCCAGGTAAGTCTAGTGTTTCTTTTCTTATGGAGGATTATTAGAGACAAACATTTTTTAGTGGATGTCGGATCGTCGTCGTACGTCGAACATCGGACTATATGCAGGAATTACATATAACGTCGTTGTGGGCTAGAAATACGACGCAGGGTCGCGTGATCGTTATTTCTGATTTGCATCAATAAAACGAGTGATTTTTGAGATTTTCGCGTGTTCGACTTGGATTCTTGATTCCGACCGTTCACAGACTTCGTCGCCGACTGTTGTTGGTTGCGTCGTTGTGGTTCGATTTTTCGATGTGGAAATTTCTGGAAACATTTGGGACAGAATATATGGGCCGTATTGACCTCCATCGGGAGACCGGAGCCCGAGCAAAATAAAAATAAGAAGAAGAAAAAGTGGGCTAGTCGTGCATAGAGGTTAGGTAACCGCGCAGTTACATTAGTTTCTATATGCCAATCATGATTGCTTATTTGTTACGATAATTAGTAAAAATTGATGTTTTATAGTGTTTTTGTGTTTTGTATTTCAGATTAGGAAGGTGGAATAAGTTAATTATTCACAAGACTCTTTCAATATTATTATAGACGTCAGATATATTTTATAACGAACATTAGCAATGTCGGGGAAAAAACTTGTCGGTAAACGTCAAATTCAAAAAAAGGCGACTAGATATCAGTAAATAATTCGGTACAAAACATATCGAATGATGACTTTTTGGAAGAGGGGACATCGCATGATCCTGCAGCTGTTCTTTTCTTCTCCCCAAACACAAGTTCTTCTCGTGCTTTTTTGAGTGATGAATCTGTAACCTCCTCTTCAATTAATAACTATGCTATGGATTTTACAAATGTAGTATTAACTCCGACAAGAATGGCTGAAATTTTTATTGATTGTATTGTATAGTAGTTTGTCAGAATCGAATCAAGAACCAGATATTGAGCCATTAGTTGTACGCCTTCAAAGATGGTATTGTTCTTCGCGTGTTAATTTGACTCAGCTGAAAATGTTGCTAACTGAACTTAAGCCTGATCATCCTGACTTGCCTTCAGATCCACGGTGTATAGTGCAAACACCAGTCTATGTAAATATTAAACCTTTAAATAATGGTGGTTACGTTCATGTTGGTATTAAGCACGGGCTCGTGAAACGTATGAAGAATGGAATTAAACCGAATTGTTTACAGTTGGATATAGATATAAATATTGATGGCTTGCCAGTCTCCAAAAGCAGTTCTGTTGATGTTTGGCCCATACTAGGTAAATGTATTGGATTATATGACCAAAGAAGAATAGAAGCAGCGATAAGAAGTAGAAAAAAAAAACCTAACCCATAGTAGAAACAGCGATAACAATTATACAGATTCTGATCATGATAATCAAGTTGTAGCACCAAAAAAGACCACTGGCATGGGTAAAATCCAAAACTTTAGTATCTCTTTTATTTGCAACAGAAGCAGTGTATGGATACTAATTTTCAATTATTGTTATTATTGCAGATATGGTAAAAAATCTAGTTTATATGGTAGAGATTATGAAGGAAACTCAACGTAACCATGGAATATTATTGGAGGAAGTAGTGCAGCGACTCAGGAATAAAGGAATAATCTTATCTCATCCTAAAGGAATGCCACAAATACCCCTTGAAAATATCAATGAAGCAGAAAGAATGGAGGAATGTTTAGCTTCATCTGCAGCACAAATGGAGTACCTTGTAAGTACAGATTTGAAGTCTATTCATTGGTTTTTACAGCAGAACATAAGATATTCTTTTACAATAAATTTTTGGGATTGAAGAAAGTGTTGAATGTTTGCAGACTAAAAGACTTTCTATCGAAGGTGGAACATCAGTTGAAGGATGTGTTGACCGTATTATGAGAAAATTGCTCACACGCGCAGTTGGCAGTCTCTACAGTTACATGGGGAGAAGACAAAAAGGGAACGACCCAAAACTTGCTTTTTCTCCTACAAACATGTATAAAGCTGTCAAAGGTATGATTGCTTCACAATTTTAGTTTATTGAAGTACTACAGAAATAGTCTGATATAGATATTTCTTTTCTTTTACAAAACGACTAGAAGATTTTTTATTCAGGGCTAAAAATATGTTATGACTACGTTAAAAAAATTCAATATTGCCTGTTTTTTTTGTCAGATGCAGTGTTACTTGTACACCCAGATGCCAATGGAAGAATTATTGATAAATCAATAATGGACTACTTGCGTTACTCACCTTTTAGGACTAAGAAATAAGTCTTTATATAGATATATAAAGACTTTTATATAGATATATATAACGAACAGTTATATTACTGTTACTTTGTGTTTGCCTGCAGTGGCACTTTGTTATAGAAATATTCATTGACATAAGTTTGTGAAAGATTACATTAAATTGTTACAGATGCATGTTCTATAATTTATTTTTCTTTAAAGTACAAATTATATTTATTTTTCTTTATAGTACAAATTATTTAATAATATTTACTTTTCTTTATAGTGCAAATTATAGAACTTATTAACGTATGTTAATCAATGTATATTTCTTCCAGACTAATATGTGATAGATATGTGTCAAATTTATTTTGTATTAAGTCAGTGAAAATCTCTCAATTTATTATTATAAGATGCTTTATTATAGATTCTTAGAAACGAATATATGAAATGAATATGAATACATGCAATTTTTGTTCTAAAATAGTTTATTGCACTTACAGTAGAACCCGCTTATAATAATGTCTCTTACATATGTTTTCCCGCTATAACATTTTGATTCCGTATCACCAAGCAATATCTACAAAATGAAATATATCCCGCATTTAACGTCGTCTCGCGTATAACGTTGCAGTTTTCCGATCTAGAGCTTGTACATTATAAACGGGTTTCACTGTATTTAACAATTTAAAAGAAAAGTTAATAAAGAAATATGATTAAAAAAATGTGTAATATTATCCCCATGCCTCCCGTACAGAGAATATATCCCCCGCGCTTTGCGTTATCCGAATGTTTAACGAACGCTCGCCAAACGTTATATCGCGAACATTCTCTGAACATTCTTCGAACACTACTTAGACGCGAACTCCTAACACTCAGATAACAGTTATTCAGGTAATGGTTGTAACATTCAGCGAACACTCGGAGAACATCAACATGCTGCCTGGGATGTTACATTTATGTTTATATTTACGCGAGTTTTAATTGTTATATTTATAAATATTGCAATTATATTTACAAAAAAATTGCAAATAAATAAATAAATTTTATTAAACATAAAATCGCGTATGATCATGTACTTCCGTAGTTTTTGTACGTTAAAATTAAACATAAAATTAATTAATTAAATAAATATTTATAAACATAAAAACTAAAATTCGTAAATGTAATGTATAGAAATTCCCGTTCTGGCCAATATACTTTTTTATCTAGAAAAAAGTCATATTAAAAACATTAACTTTGGCATAATATTTAAATTTAATATTTAAATGCATAATAATAGTAAAATATTAACTATAAAAAAAAGGTAGTTTATAGTGTTCTTTTTACTCTTATTAAATTTTCCAAATCACGAGCACCAAAAGAGGGATATTGGATTAAAATAAAAACAATTTATTATACAAATAATGCACACGGTTAATGTTTCGACTATAGTTAGTCTTCTTCGGAACGGATTATTACGAAAGAAAAAGATAAATATCAAGAAACATGATAATTAATGTTCATTTAACATACTAAAACATTAAACAATCACCTAACAATATAAACAAAATAAACAATAATCTAATTGAATCACAAATATGAAAACGCCGGAATAATCGAATGAAACCATGGCAAGATAAATTTATATTTATATTGAGAAGTGGTAAAATCTCTTCCGTCAAGAAGAAAATGTAAAAAATTATTAACGGGGGTATTTTGATTTAAAAGATCTTTAAAATATATATTTTGCAGGAATTTTTTATAGGGAAACGAAGAAAGTGAATAACGTTAAACTTTGCATGTTTACTTCACCTTATTTTAAAATTTTATTTTTATTTTTTAAGTAACAAAAATGCTTTTCCTTTCTATTATATTATAGGTATTCTGGTCACTAGAAGGTGTTGTAGCGTCTTGGTACGCCGGGTATGTTACCCACCACGTGTATACCGCGGGAAGAGTGCTTCGAGGTTACGTGGTCGAGGGAAAATGACTGTTCCCTCTTTATTTTTAATATACGTAATTTATTTGTCCACGAGTACAATACACGACACGACTGTTTGACGATCCTTGCGAAAGTGATGCGTGTAACGCTTTTTCCTGCGTGCAGCGCCGGGAGTCCCGCTTGGTAACGCGCGGTCGATAATCCTAAAAGCGATCGATAGCGCCCGTGAAAGCCCACTAACTTATCCGCGAAGCATCGCGGTCAATATATGCATAAGAATACCGTGCTGGATTCTTAACATCCTGCCCGCCCTTGAAAGGATATGCTTTCAATACAATCCTAAAGTAACGACTAGTGTTCTATTAATAATCGGACACGGTTAATGAGTCTGTTGCTCTCCTCGCCAGGGCTGGACTATAATCAAACAAAAAAAAATGAAGCAAAACAACATTCAGCATGTTGCATGAAAAATAAAATAAAAAAGGGTGGACGCAAACTATGATGGTCGCACATAGGCAACGCGTTACGAGAATCAATGTATTGCCTTACTTCAAACTTGTGATTGTATCCTAAGGTTTAACTATAAGGTAGTGATTAATAATAACAAACATAGCAAGTATACGAACTGTGAAAAGTTATACTAATTATTTAAGGGTAATATCGCGATTTTTGTTAGCGGCCTTACAAATTTTCCTGACGCCGTTCTAACCGTAGCAGTTCGCACTTGTCCATCTGGACCCGCGTGTGTTTTCTCTATACGACCGATCAGCCACTGCATAGGAGCTAAGCCCTGCTGTTTTAATAGTACGATTTGATCTACTCTTAACTGTTGACCTTTATTGGTCTTCCACTTGTTTCTTTCTTGCAACGTATGCAAATACTCGACACTCCATCTGCGCCAGAAGTGTTGTCTCATTTGTTCAACTCTTTGCCAACGCACGAGTCGATTTTCATTTACGTCGGTCAAATCCTCGCAAGGGAAGCTGTTCAATGGGGCGCCAACCAAGAAATGCCCGGGTGTCAAGCAACTCAGGTCGTTGGGATCTTCACTGAGTGGGGTGAGCGGTCTCGAATTTAAAATCGCTTCGATCTCGCATAATACCGTCGCTAACTCCTCAAATGTTAAGTTCGCTTTACCGACTATTCGATTTAAATGATATTTAGCGGACTTAACTGCAGCCTCCCACAAGCCCCCGAAATGCGGAGCATTTGGTGGTATGAAGCTCCATGAAAATTGTTGTTCGCGAACGAAATGCTGTATTTCCGACTGTATTTTGTCATCTTTTAAAAATTCATAGAATTGTTTTAACTGACCCTGGGCCCCCACGAAGGTGGTCCCATTGTCCGAATATATATATTCTGGTTTACCTCTACGCGCCACGAATCGCTTAAGAGCCGCGATAAACGCGTTTGAAGTTAAATCGCTTACTAGTTCGATGTGCACTGCCTTCGTGGCAAAACATACGAATATTGATATATACGCCTTGAGAGAACGCGCGTTGCGTCGTTTTCCCTCTCGTATCACCGGGCCTGCATAATCGACGCCGCAATGATAAAACGGTCGTGATACTGTCACACGCCCGGCCGGCAAAGAACCCATCACAACCTCTGAAAGGGACGGTTTAGCTTTAAAGCAAGTTATACATTCGTGCACTATTTTTCGCGTAGTCGATCGCAATGATAACGGCCAAAAGCGTTGTCTTATTGTGGCCATGGTGGCTTGTATGCCGGCGTGAGCGTTTCTTATGTGCTCCTGTTCTATAATTCGCTTCGTTAGAATATGTCCGCGCGGTAATAGTATAGAATGTGAAGCGTCGAAATTTAAATCCGATTCCCTCAACCTGCCTCCTACTCGAATCAGCCCGTCAGTGTGCAAAAATGGGGATAAGGAAAGCAAGGAACTGGACGGGTTTATAGTCTCATCTTTTGATAATGCCCTGTACTCACTGGGAAACGATCGTTTTTGAATTTCTCTGCACATGATATCCAACGCGAAACGGCACTCGGAAAGCGAGATGAATGTCCTTGATGTGTTTCGATTGTACACCTTGCCTAATCTAAGGCAATACGCCAGAATGCGGCATGCCTTGCTCAGGTTTGAACATTTGCATAATAGCTCCTCGATGTCTGATTGGCCTATGGCGGCCACCGCAGCTGCGACTCTCCGTAGTTCCGGCGCGGGTTCTAACCTATTGAAGTTGCGGTTTGGCCATTTCTGCTCTACTTCCATCAAGAAGAGTGCCCCGTGCCACCACAAGGCAGCACTCAGCAAATCACCGGGGGTTTGGCCTCTTGACAGTATATCGGCAGGGTTATTGGCGGATGAGACGTGGCGCCAGCTATCGATCCTCGTAAGACGCTGCACCTCTCCGACCCTATTTGCCACGAAAACTGTCCACTTGCGTGATGGTGACGAAATCCAATTTAGGGTTATCGTTGAATCCGACCAAAGGAATATGGGTATATTGTCTACGTGGATGGCTTCGCTTATCTTATCGACCAATTGCGCTAATAGTACGGCTGCTGCCAGTTCGAGACGTGGCAACGATTGACTTTTAATGGGAGCTACCCGGGATTTGGAGCATAGAAGCTCCACTCGAAATTTATTAGCTTTAATTTGTGTTCGTATGTAAATACAAGCACCGTATGCCCGTTCACTCGCATCGCAAAAACCATGTAATTGTGTGTGTCCTGGTCTTGTACTGTAGCGGACGCAGCGCGGAATAGCATAATGATTTATGATAGGTATTTGAAGTCTCAGATTTTTCCAACGCAGATCAATGTTAGGGGGAACCGACTCATCCCAGTGGATGTCTGCCTGCCAAAGATCCTGCATGATTAATTTTGCTAATACAAGTACAGGTCCTACTAAACCTAACGGATCAAACAAACTGGATAACTCTGATAAAATCGTGCGTTTCGATATCACTGCTGGATGTTCGCCAATCTTGAAGGAGAAGTAGAATGTGTCCTGGGCGTGATTCCAATGGATCCCCAATACGGAGGAATCCTTATCCTCGCCTATCGGAACCAGCACACGATCGTGTTTGGTCACCTGATCCAACAGTTCGGGGCAGTTAGAAGCCCACTTGTTCAACTCGAAACTTCCTTCTCGTAACAACTGAATTATCTCGTCGCGTGCCTTCTTTGCTTGAGCTATTGAATCTGCACCCGTGAGCAAGTCGTCCATATAGAAGTCTCTTCTTACGTGAGATGCTGCCACGGGATATTTACCGTGATACGTCTCTGCCAACTGTTTCAAACATCTTGTTGCTATAAACGATGCAGACGATGTGCCGTATGTGACGGTAGTTAATTCGTATGTTTCTACATCTGCCGTGCGGTCATCTCTCCATAAGATTCGCTGGTATCGAGTTTGCGAAGGGTGGATGAGTATCTGACGATACATTTTAATAATGTCAGCTACAAAGGCGTATCGAAAGGTTCTGAATCTGACCAGAATGGACATGAGATCTTGTTGGATGACTGGCCCCGTTAAGAGCGTGTCGTTGAGAGATGTTCCGGTGCTATCCTTACAGGATGCATCAAATACCACGCGAATCTTAGAGCGATCCGCTGCATTTTTAAACACACAATGATGAGGTAAGTAGAAAACTTCTTGCTCATCCTTACTCCAATTGGTCACTTGCTTCATATGGCCTAATGCACGGTACTCGTCCAAGAATCGTGTGTATTGTATTTTTAACGCCGGATCACGTGTAAATCTTCTTTCTAATCCGTGTAGGCGCTTGAGCGCGATGTCTCTTGTGTTTTCAAATTTAGGCTCGACTTGCTTCTTGAAAGGAAGGCATGCCATGTACCTGCCCTCGGCCGTTCGCTCTATTGTATTTACGAAATGTTGTTCGCAGGCCAGTTCTTCTGTGGTAAGATTTCTTGTGCCTTCTATCGTCTCCATTTTCCAGAGGCGACTAAATTGTTCGTCAAGCTGGGCATTAGATATCGACGCTGCGAAGGCCTGGATGCGCTTTGTAGATTGGGATGATTGTGCGGCTCGCCCCGCAGGGATCCAACCAAAACGTGTCTTCTGTAGAGTTGGATGTCCCGGAGAGTTCTTAATTTGTCCTACGCAGAGAATCTGCCAGAACAGCTCCGCGCCAATCAGGATATCAATGTCAGACGATACGTGGAACTGAGGGTCGGCCAGCTCAATATTTCGTGGAATATCAAATGCGCTTCTTTTTAAAGTGAAAGAGGGTATTTTGTCAGTCACCCTGTCGGTGACGAAACAATTGATCTTGGCGCTGAATGAGTTAATACGTGACTGCAGTTGTATCTGTGCTATTTGCGAAGACGTAGTTGCCATGTTGTTTATCTCTGAAATGGAAATATTAGAATCCTTCGCCTTGATATTGAGTACGTCTAGGAAGCCTTTAGAGATAAAATTTGCTTGCGAACCAGAATCCAACAATATACGACATGGCTTGCGCGATTCCTTGTTATCGAATGCGTAGATGACTGCCGTTGCCAGCATAATATGTTCGTCGTAGCGATAATTAAAACCGTGCGTGACCACTGTTGTGGATGAGGTCGTCGATGCTTTGATACTTTGTGACTTCTCGTCCCGCCCCTGCGAATCGGCGGTACTTGTGTCGAGGTGCAATAATGTGTTGTGTTTCATCTTGCATGTCTTGCAGGTTCCAGAGACGCATTTGCCAGCGTTATGGCTCGTCGATCGCAGACGATTTGCGCACAATTTAGCCTTACGTACCTCTGCTATCCTCTGATGAACTGTAAGTGCTAAAAACTTGGGACAGAAATATATTGAATGTTCCTCCTTGCAATGGGTGCACCTGAACTTAACAGATGCTGCGCAGGCAGCTTGACGTTTCGTTTTTGCAGAGGAATGTGCCTCAGCCTTGGCTGTAGTAGAATTGGGCTTTCCCGAAGCTTCCAACATTTGACTGCGATGAGTTACAAAATCCAAAAATTGTTTGAATGTGGGCAGTTCCGTGGTGATCAGCGAATTCTGCCATTCTCGCATAGACACGGTATCGAGTTTACTGCTCAACAAGAAGATGAGGAGATCGTCCCAGTGAGACGTGGGCCTTTTTAATGCCTTAAGGGCGTTTATGTGCCTCGACGCACCGTCCGCGATTTGACGCATCTCGGACGCGTTCTCTCGCGTCATGGAAGGCAGATCCATGATAGCTCAAATATGACTTTGAGTGATTACCCGCTTGTTATCATACCGTTCCTTGAGTAACCTCCATGCGACCTGATAATTTACGGCTGAAATTTCCAACGCGCCGATAATATTTTTTGCATCCCCCTTTAAGGAGGCGCGTAAATAATGTAACTTTTGTACGTCGTCTAGCTCATCACTCGTGTGTATGAGGGCGTTAAAGATGTCGAAAAATGGGAACCAATCCTCGTAGTTTCCCGAAAACTCAGGTAAATTTAGCTTGGGTAATTTTACTTGTAAACGCGACTCGGATGCATTGGATACCCTGGGGCTTGTGAAAGGGGTCACACTGCTACGTGCCTGAATATTCGTAAGCTCGCGAATGCGCGCCGATAATACATAAAAGGCATTTTCGAAGCCCCCGCGATTGGCCGATTTGCTTTCATCTAATTGCTCTATTTTCGTTTGTATAGATTCATACTCTGACCAGTAATGCTCTAATTTGAGCCGGCGTTCCTCGAGTTGCGCTATTGTCGACGGCGTGACTACCTCGGGCGCGATTGATTCAACAAACGTTTGGATACGAGTACATGAGCCTCGTATTATGGCTCGGCGCCTTTTGAGAGAGACTATGTTTTCCTCGTTACTCATTTTCTATTTTGGTTGACTGAGACGCACGCGAACTAATGACGAGATCGAATCGAAAGAAAATTCTTGGTTGGCACCGCAACTGCACACAAAAAAAACAGCTTCCCTTACCTCGCAATTATGCCGCGCTGATACGGCTAACGCAACGGTCGGGGCGCTCGCGCGCTATCCTTGTCGCTCTTAGATGCGATGGCCTTGTGTCTCCGGAAGCATGCCGTCCTTCTCTCCCTGCAAACGCGGTGTCCTTGTCTCTCTGTAAGCGTGCTGTCTTTTCCGTACGGGAAGCGTCGTCCTTGGAAACCGCCGCCCCTTGAAGACCCTTCTCGGTGCTCGCAGCGGTACGAATGCTATACCGCTTCCGCCTTGATGGTCTCGAACGGCCTCGTGGAATTCCTTTTTTTTGGCACACGCCAATGCAGCCGCCGCAGCGCCCGCGAGGATTGTAGCTCGCCGATAAGATTACAAGCTCGAGCTCTCAAATGCCTTATATATCTTGCCGTATGATTTTGCTTCTCCGTGTGAAGCCTCGTGGAATGCTCGTGTCGTGGAATGTCCTTCGTCTCGAAAGATCGAGAGAGCCTCGCAGACAATGGCGGACGTCTTGTTATCCGGCTCGAAGGATCAAATTATGTTGTAGCGTCTTGGTACGCCGGGTATGTTACCCACCACGTGTATACCGCGGGAAGAGTGCTTCGAGGTTACGTGGTCGAGGGAAAATGACTGTTCCCTCTTTATTTTTAATATACGTAATTTATTTGTCCACGAGTACAATACACGACACGACTGTTTGACGATCCTTGCGGAAGTGATGCGTGTAACGCTTTTTCCTGCGTGCAGCGCCGGGAGTCCCGCTTGGTAACGCGCGGTCGATAATCCTAAAAGCGATCGATAGCGCCCGTGAAAGCCCACTAACTTATCCGCGAAGCATCGCGGTCAATATACGCATAAGAATACCGTGCTGGATTCTTACCGGGAGGTATAAATGACAGACGGTGTAAATAATTCTAGCTGTTCTATAGGTATCTGAAACGCAAAAAGCTAAAATTTTCTTATTCAGAAAAAGTATGTGGCTATCGTCTGAACTAAAACTAAACCAATATTTCCATTCTAGGCAGCCTTTTTATCAAAAATATTATTAATCAATATTAAATAAACAATTTACGGTCTGAGCTTGGATTTTATAGTAGCCTAATAATATTTTTTATATACTATATTTACATATTTTTTTCAACTTTAATAAACTACGCGCCGACTAACTTGTCAGATTTATAACACAGCTCCTATTGGAGTAGTAAAATCCCCTCACTCCCCTCTAATTAAATCGATTTAAATAATAGTAAAGAATTTACTACTCCAACAGGAGCTGTGTTGTAAGTCTGACAAGTTATGTCGGCGCGCAGTTTATTAAGGTTGGAAAAAATATACATGTAGTATGTACACAAAAAATATTATTAGGCTATTAAGATCCAAGCTCGGACCGTAAACGGCTTATTTAATATTGATTGATTGTATAACAGTCATAAAACGGGGGATCTTATTTCTCTTATATTATTAAAAAAATTATAACTTTTTTTTAAATTTTGTTAGTATTTTATTAAAAGAAAAAACTAATAAACGTATAATGTTCATTGCACGGGGGGGTATGAGGCGCTCCCCGGATTTGCGATTGGTCAACAAAATTTCTCGAAGGACCAGAGGGCCCGTGCCCTCGCGAAAGCGAATAAAGCGAAGCAAGCAAGCGAATATCAAAAGAGATGCGTGGCGACTCACCGTGTCGTTGCCCGGCGCCTCCTGGGTGTTGACGTCGTCCTCCCGTTGGCGAGATCTCTGGCGTGCAAGGCAAAAGCATGCAACAGTCCGGCATAGCAAGCGGGCAGGCAGGTATAGCAAGCAGGCACAGATAGGCAGGATAGCAAGCGATTAGGTCTTCGTGGTCTGCGATGGGCGACCGAGCACTCCGAGTTCGCGCACGCGAAAACGGTAACGTGTGAGCTTCACGACGTTCGACTGATGAGTCCCTGCCGTAAGACGGCGTGTCGCAAATATGTGTGTGTGTGCCGCACGGCGGCTTGACGAAAAGTTCTGCGGAGAGATGTGTCCTCTCCGACTGTTTGACGAGGAGTCCCTCTCTTCCGTTCTCCGGCTCGCGCACCTGCGAAGTACGGCGCGAGCGAGTACCGAATTCTTCTCATAATGGGGGATGCCACCCGCGGGCGGGCAGCACGAGTCGGGTGAGTCGCGCGAATATCGACAAGTGTACTAATCGCGATCCACCGACGCTTCGCTAATAGGCGCGATAATTCAACCCGGTATAACTAATCAATACAAAAACCGTACAATTAACAATGTGAAGCGACAACACGAAATCGATCCTATAATTAGCTACTATTTACACTATGATACACGGCGGTGCGCCAAACATTCATTCTAGTTCAGACATGGCAATAACCACACTTATTCTGAATAAGAAAATTTTTTGTTTTTGGGTTTCTGATACCTATAGAACAGCCATAATCATTTACTCCGTCTGTCATTTACACATTCTAGTGATCAGGATATAACATAGAAAAAAATAGCATTTTTCTTACTTAAAAAATAAAAATAAATTCTTAAAATAAGGTTAAATAAAAACATGCAAAGTTTAACAATATTCGCTTTCTTTGTTCCGCTATAAAAAATTCCTATTTATGAAAAATACTTATTTTTAAGATCTTTCAAACCAGATCAAATACGCCCTTAATTTATTGTTTATTATTAATATATTGTTATTAATTATATACACATAAGTATTAGAAAGCATATAGTATAAAATAATTTCAATATTCAAATTATTGTAATAATAATAAAAAAAATCAATTATTTACATTTTCTTCTGTGTGTGTATGCGTGATGTTATTGACAATAGTTTTTTTGCACGTTTACATTTTTTTTACAGATTTTTTACACGCTTAATTTTCACAAGTGTGATGTCAAATACAGGCAAAATTTTTGTTTATCTGTTATAAGCGTTATTTCGAATGCAAGATTTTAATAATCAAACATTTTCAAACTGCAAACGAAGGACAAGCAATATCATCTACACAGCATGTAGTCTTAAAATACTATGATCTTTTCTAGCAGCACTAGCGTATAATTTGTCCGCCGACATTACGAATTTCTTCTGCAGCAACACATAAAATGTTGAACAGTTTCTTCAAATGGTTGTAACAACGTCTGTATGTCCTTGCATTATTAATTCGTTAAGGTATTGTTCACATTCTCATTCTAAAATAATAATCCTATTAAAAAATGTTTATTCTTCTTTAAAGAAAATGCTGTCTCAAATGTTATTCTTTCAAAAAATTTTGATAGACTTGGAAGAAAGAGTTTGTATATAGAGACAGAAACTTATCTTAACTTTTAAAATATATTTTAAATTTCTTTATAATGCATTTAATGCGCGTGTGAGTATGAAAATGCAATTTGTTTTTCTAAATATAATAAATATTATTTTTTAAAAGCTTAATGAAAATAATAATCAACGGCAAGACGTTTGTGTGATAAAAAACTTACAACATAAAAATACACAAATATATATAATTAAATATAAAATATGTCTGTTTAATTAATAATATTCACGATGTTTAGAAATACAAATTGGATTTTCATATTCACACGCGTGTGGCCGGGGCGTATTAAAAAAAGAGGTGTGGCCCTCGGGGGTGTTAATGATACAAGAGCATGCAGACGTTGTTATAATCGTTCAAGAAAACTGTTCAATATTTTATGTGATTGTTGCAAAAGAAATTCGTAATGTCGGCGAATAAATTATACGCTAGTGCTTCTAGAGAAAATTGTAGTATTTTAAGATTACATGCTGTGGATGATATTGCTAATCACTCGTTTGCAGATTGAAAATATTAAACGTTTGATTATCAAAATCTTGCATTTGAAGTCACGCTTATAACAGATAAATAAAAATCTTGTCTGTATTTGACATCACACTTGTGAAAATTAAGCGTGTAATAAATCTGCAAAAGAAATGTAAACGTGCAAAAAAACTTGTCAATAATATCACACACACACACACACACACACACACACACACACACACACACACACACAGTAGAAAATGTAAATAATTGATTTCTTTTGTTTGAGATCGTAATAAACGGCATCTCGAAAACCGCGTTCGGTTGCATGATAGCGCATGCACGATTGCGACAATGAATATTCACGTAACATCTCGCATTACAGAAATAGCATCGCTGCAAATTCACAGCATGGATCCTTCCAATATTCGCTTTCGAGAACATTCTGCAATAACAATTCTGTGACAATAATAAAGTCAAGCTAACGGTTCGCAATAACAAGGTCTCAAACAAAGGAAGGAT